ATATGTAGAACGCACCGAGTCCGAAGTCGTCTGTCATAGTAGTTGTCATGATTCCCAGCATCAGACAGTGGAGTTGGTACATTCTCAAACATTTCGCCGGCATCGTAGTCGGCATCATCAGTCAGTTTTGCCATTCGCCGCACCAAGATACGAACTCGTCACAGAGACAAATGAAGTCAATCCCTCGACAACCGTTCTGCCGAAAACGGTTAAATTATTACTCCCCTTTCTGTCATTGTCTATCTATCTACTCCTTACCCTCTAATCCAACTGCCGCTCTATCACAACTTCTCACTTGTTTACATTCCACTCGTCAAAATGTGTGCTCTTTTGCAGCAAATATACTGTGGCCTCATCACACCCGCTATTCACCACGACCCCTCTCTTTCGATCGGCTGATCCGACTCGTGTCTCCAATCCGGATCGCCTCATTGTCTCGTAGATCCGTTCTTTCTCGTTCTGGTTGACCGATTTCACTCGGTTCCAGTCCCTGCGTGCATTTCACTCCAGACGCTATTTCTCAAGGCCCTAGAACCACGTACATTGCCGCTTCACTGAGCAGAGCGCCTAAGCTCTGATTGCAATGCTTGCAGATATCACACCTTCCCTTCACGGGTCATCTCCTCGATTAAACCCACGTTATCTGAGCAAACTGTGAACGCCTAGCTCTGGTCGCATGCGGCATCTCAAGTGGATTTCTAGTGCATTTTGGCCATAACGCCGACTTTCCGTGACGGTTTGTTTTCCCTCTGCCAAGTTCAAGAACGACATGCATTTAAATATTACTCCTAGTCTCTTCTGGAAGATGGTCGGTAAAACTTATTAGTTCCGCCAGTATCTCTCCCCATCATCTTTACTGTTGGGAAAAGCAAATTAAAAACCTTTCGAGAGCCTCTTCAAACGAAATGAAAGTTACTCCAACATTAATACATTAAGATATTGTCAAAAACCTAGTTTTTCTACGCACCATTGGCAGTTTAGTTTGCACTGTCGTTGAAGCCGCCATGTGGTGGAATGGCATCGACAAATAAGGACTAACGGGCCAAAAAGCGCCCCCGAGCGGTGCAGTTGCAGATGTTGCTGCCGACATTGTGGATTGCGGCACCTTGGATGGACCAGCTCCTGCCTTAGAAACTGGCCGTCGAAGTGGCAATGCTGCATTTGCAGTGGCAATTACAGCTTCGGCCTCTTGAAGTTTCATTTCGGCCTCTCTGACCTCCTGATAAGGCCTATGCGGACACCGTGGGTGATTCCAATGAGGGTGATGATGATGATGAGGATGGTGAAGCTGAACATGGCTACAAGCCATGAGAGGACTAGTTACACCATCCCCCCTTCCAACAGCATCCAAGGTGGCATAAACCCGTGGAAAGATGGTCGTTTGCATCAGCCCCGGGCACCGTTTTGATGGACTGCAAAGAGGAACCTCTGATGCGTCTGCTTGAGGAGATTCATTTGCCTTCTCCGACACCCGCTGGGAATGACTACTGCACAGAGGCTGTACTGCAGAGGTTGATCTTGAAGAATGCCTCAAGTTTAGCACGGTTTCATTAGGTTGCCGATGTTCTTCTCGACTTTGTGAATGCGACTGTGTCTGGCGGCACTGCAAGTTAGTTTGCAGATAATGAATGGGCTTAGCCAGACCGGTTACAGCAGCCGAACATGATGGACAAGCGTATATCTGACCTGAATCACAAGCAATGCAAGAATGGAAATCTGGGCACTTGTTTAGCCGAGGTTTTGCAACATCACAGGCGATCTGTTCACAGCCTGAACCGACAGTTCCGGGCCAGACGCCACTGCCAGCCTTGACAGCTGAGCAGACGCAGGAGCAACTACTAGACGCCCAACTCACAGAAGTTCCCAGTGAGTCCAATGGTGGCAATAGGGTGGAAGAAGTTTCTGTCTTAAAAGCAGTTGTCGCGGAGGCTGGAGGTGGGCCAGACAACTGATGATGTCGGTCTCGACGGCGAAGTATATGCATGCCGATGCATGATTCTGAAGGAGAGTTGATCAAGGCTGGTGGCGAGAGGGAAGAGAGTAGAACAGACGAGGGCACAGATGCCGGCACTGGGGCAGTAGGAATAGGATGACCAATTGTTGGGTCGGGCGAGTGTTTATGTCGAGTCGTCTCACTCGGTGCGAAGAGACAAGAGGAGGCTGAGGGCGGAGATGGGGATGCTGATGAAGAGGAAGAGGACGAGTTGAAGCAGGAGGAGGAGAATAAGGTATGAGCAGGAAGTTCAGCGATTGAATGGCCTGGCAACAGATGAGCATCGGTAGACTTGACCAATTGGGGATATACTCCGTCGTAGTGAACTTGACCAGCGATAGAGGCTGACAATGACACAGTGGTAGCAGTGGTGTTGGCTTGAGGAGTGGGGCGAAAGCATGCGGTAAAGAGTGGCGAGGCGATCGTGCCAGATTCGGTGCTAGCATTCAGCAAAGCAACGCCCTCAGGCGTGCTAAAGGAACGACGACGCTCACGAGCCAGTACCAACTGTCCAACGGGGAATGCCAAGTCGGACGTGGGTGCAACCACGACGCTGGCAGCGTCGAAAGCAGTGCCACTGGGCAGTGGAGACTCGAGACCGGAAAGACCGTCGTCATCTTGCGAAGAGGGCCGATGGCTCAGTTCACTGTACGCATCCAGATCGGCGATCGCAGCCGAAGAGCCGGGGCAAAAAGTGTAGTTGGCAGGCTGCTCTTGCTCGGGCGAATGTAGCTGATGCTGTTGCTTTCTATGGCATTGATGCAAGTTGTGCTGCACGGCAGGGGCATGATGACAGTGAGTTAGCCTGCGAAAAGGTTCCAAATGCGGGTTGATTTCGACTGAAGATGGTGGATTTGAACAGTGGCACATGTGGACGGGAGACGAAGAAGCACAGGACAGGAGTAGTGGACAAATGTGCATGTTTGTGAAAGCTGAAGTAGAGGCTGGGATTGTGGGAATGCTGCTAGTGCTGGTGCTGTGGGGGCAGATTTCACCGCTGGCAGCACGACAAAATCGACTCTGGCCAGAGTTACACGCAGGGTGTGTCGATCGAAGATGAACTCCTAAACAAAGGCAGCAAACGGTAGAGCCAAAATTTTCGGACAGTTGCGAGGCTGCGATCGGGGAAAAGTATCCTAAAGCAAATCAAAAGTCGAGAGAAAGGTAGGAATAAAAGTATACACATTTTTTTTAATTATTACTTTCAGTAAGAGTTTAAATAAGGATGAAACCAAATAAGTGAAATATGCATTCTTTTGACAATGCTCCTGCAAATAGGATCAGAGTAGCGGGGTACGTTGAGGAAAGGAAAAGGGCTAACCAGAAAATTATTGGCGATTGCTTCAAGCAATCATGCGGATAAAAAGAATAAATTATTAAGAATGAAACATTACGAATCAATACATGTACAGCATTTGTTGATAGATTAACTATCGATAGAATAATCTTACACGGTCTGATTGAATTTGCCAGTGTTAGAAGCCAGCATATCAAAATAGTAAAGCACAAGGAGATAATTGCCCATCTTAGTCGGAAAAATGATACAATTATAAAAATTAATTATTTAATATATACGTTTTAAATACTAGTCGAAATCCCTGTAGAAAGTGATAGAATATGTGGTGGAAGAAAAGCACTCACCATTAGCAAAGGAGTTTCCAGTTTTATGAAGAGCGGAACAGACTGGCATTAGCAAGCGAGAATGTGGCATGCAAGTCTCTTCGCATATGACCTTTTCAAGGCAATTGGGCTCGAGAAAGTCAGATACCTCGGAGTAAACTTCATCTAAGAAAATCAAAATTTCAAGTTGCGAAAATATAGCTTTTAAAAGAACGAGAAAATGAATTGATCGGGTGCGAAACCCAGAGATTGCAAGAAAAATTTGGACAACAATGTTTACAAATGGAGATAGTCAAATAATGTAAATTTGAGAAAGATTTAGAAATAACAAGACAGAT